TCGATGGTTTGGGTTGACAAAGGTAAAAAAAATATATATAAGCATGGATGAGATCAGATCTTTGAATTAGGATTTGTAAATTATATATCCATCTAATAAATAAATACTAAAACAATCGATTGAACGTAGATATCTTTTGAGTTGTCATAAACAATATACGGAGGATATTCTTTTTAGTTGTAGAGATTTTTTTTACATATATTTCATTAAACGAATAGATGATATCAGATTGTTATAAAAGATATATTTTAATTAAAAAAATATTGTGATGGCAATGGATGTAATTACATCGATTCATTAAAGGTATTTTCGGCAAGTCAAGTTTTAAATTCACTCTGGAAACGACATGTAGGATTTTTGACCTCACAATTATAAATATAGATTATATAATATTAATGTAGATTTAGTATAGTTGGATTTTTAAGAATATGTATTAAATCGTATATAAACGAAACACAGTATAGAATGCTAGATAGTGATATTAGGCATTCTAATAATTTCTATTTCAAAAAAAAATTATCGGTCTCTTCAGACTTCCTCACCTAATTTTTGTGGATTGACAAGTCTATATTTATAAATACGAGGTCACAAATCCGAGGTGGCATGACGAGAATCAATTTCAGAATTGAAATTACCGTTATACCCTAAAATCTCAATTGAATTACGCTCTTGTGCCATTGAGATGTTGCGATCGATGATAGCAATATTAGCACATTGGGTCGATGGCCCATAATTTGTAAGAATATCCATTAAAATCCACCGAAAATAAATAGTATTAAATCCATAATTTTGTTCATGGCCCATACACATAAAAACCTTAGCCACTAAACTATATAACACCTATAAATATAATCTTATTTTAGGTTTTGACTTCATACCTCTCTGCTTCCAAAACAATGGTATTATATTATGTATATTATATGTTTTTCTTTAACATCTTCTCTTCTTTGGCAGCGGTTATTCGAGGTTTAATGTCGGAGGTAAAGTGTTTGGATCATACTAATAAGTATTGGAGACAATGTCATCACATGCGGCAATAGGTATAGTTATATCATTTATGATACTGTTTCCAAGTCAATGACACTCTCTTTTAAGTTTCTATAATTTTTTGCACGTCTTTCTTATTTTTCTTCGTTTACTCTTTTACTAATTGTTTGTTGTTATTATTGTTTTAGAGCAGATTCATCCACCTATGATCTGACGATATTCTTATATTTAATCGAAAATATGTCTCGCGTTTTCCAATGATTATTTGGTCATGATATTTGTTTCTTCTTATTTACAGGTTGCATTGGCTTGGCTACCTTATCTCAGGTGTGGGTTTG